TAAGAGGGTGAAAGCGCTACGCGGGGTTCCAAAAGTATAGTAGGGAGAGTGTAGGGGTTGGAGCCCAGTGGAGCTAGTTTGGCTAGGAAAGGCCAGTTAGGCCCAGGAAAGGCCAATTTGGTCCGGGAAGACCATACTCAGTGTTGGGTGATGAACTGACCACTGGGAAGTCCAAGACTAGAGTGAATACGGACTGACAAGCGAGGTAGCTTGGTGAAGTGTTCAAGAGCCGGCTCTAGTTCCCCGGGGAGATCGAATGGTCGATGCTCCTAGTCCAAGTGTGGGTGGCACTACCTACTTGGATACCAGGCGTGGCTCAACGGAACCTCGCTCTAAGCCCATGGCTAGAGCACCCAAAGGCGGAAGGCAGGGAGAGTACCCATGAGGCCCGCGTAGGGCCACGGTGTTCCGAAATGGTGTCCCAAAGTCCCAGACTGTGGAAAGGAAGAGGAGTAGCCCTCTGGTGTGGTGACCAAGGACACAGTCACACGGTGAGGAATCCTTAGAGGATAGTGGGACTTAGTGGTCAGGCCAGTGGGCCTTGATCCAGTGGTGGTGGTGGCGAACACAGCCAAGGACAGAAAGGGACTTGGTGAGGACCGGAACAAAGATATTGGGGAAGGCTATTCCCCATGTCTGTAGGCATCCTAAGGATGTTAAGGAGTGGATCTGGGATGATCACTCATGGACGGATGACCCAGTCTTTGAGAGACGGGATTGGAATGCAGGTGGAGTTGTACCACCGATGTGACCAAGGTAAATGGGCATGGCCTTAGCGTAACGGGCCGATACGTCAATGGTACCTTGGGGTGTCGATCATGGGATCAGACACGTGGAGCACCTGGACCAAGTGCTAAGGTTGAGTGGCATGGATGCCATTCTCGGGGCTAGCAAGCCCCAAGTCCTGAATGGGACTTATGGAGGTTGTGAATGAGACTCCTCCAAGTGGTCGAATGTGGGGTTAAGTGACTAAAGTAGAAGGGAAAAATTAGTCACTTATATCCATCTCGGGTCCATCTCGGGTCCAACTCAGACTCCATCTCGAACTCCATCTCGGGTCCATCTTAGGTCCATCTCGGACTACATCTCAAGTCCATCTCAAGTCCATCTCAGACTCCATCTTGGACTCCATCTCAAACTCCATCTTGGGTCCATCTCGGACTCCATCTCAGGTCCATCTCTGATCCATCTCAGACTCCATCGTGGACTCCATGTCGGGTCCATCTCAGGTCCATCTCGGACTCCATCTCAGACTCCATCTCGGGTCCATCTCGGATCCATCTCGGACTCCATCTCGGGTCCATCTCGGATCCATCTCGGACTCCATCTTGGACTCTATCTCGGGTCCATCTCGGGTCCATCTCGAACTCCATCTCAAGTCCATCTCAAGTCCATCTCAAACTCCATCTTGGAATCCATCTTGGGGCCATATCAAGTCCATCTCGGACTCCATCTCAGGTCCATATCTAGTCCATCTCAGACTCCATCTCAGACTCCATCTCGAGTCTATCTCGGGTCCATCTCAAACTCCATCTCAGATTCCATCTCAGGTCCATCTCGGGTCCATCTCGGACTCCATCTTGAACTCCATCTCAGGTCCATCTCGAGTCCTCTTGTGTCCCCTTTTTTAGAGACTCACTCATGGCTTGCTTTGTGCTTGTTCCTTGAGCCCTTCATTAGAGTTCCACTCCCCCTCTCGACTTTTCAAGTTAGAGCTTTTAGTTCAAATGAGTTATGCTCATTTAGCTTTCACTTTGGCCACTACCACGTGGCACCCTTTCGGCTCCACTTTGGGGCCTAGGGATTTTATGTCTCACAGTAGAGTGTAAACAACTAAAGAAAACAACTTGAAAGCCAATTCATAGAGTTTAAATATAAAGGGAAAAGGCTTATATATCAGAGTGCATCCTTTTTTCAGATAAACTTCAATCTATATCAATTGACACAGAGAGAATAATAGAAGACCTTTTGTTATAAAAGGTTTTGGGATATTTGTGATTAAGCATCTATGGGTTTAAATAGTATTAGGTTAAATAACCTCTTAGGAAGTTCGAATTTAGGAGTTCATGGTATTCAAAAGTTCTTGGATCTGACATTATTGATTAGTTAAAAAATCATGCCATATATTGCGATTGACATTGGAAGGTTTAGTTTGCCTCTGGTTGGGCTCAACTCGAGAGGTAAGGTGTCAAAAGAGCTAGGCTCTCAACTTCCATTTACAAGGGCGTGATTTGCAAAGAAGTGTAATGAATTATAACTAACCAAAGAAAACAACTTCAAAGATGATCCATGGGGTATAAATATAAAAGGAAAGGGCTTATGAATAAAAATGCACCCCATTTCCCAATATCTTAGGATATTTAAAGTGAAATATCCATGGGTTTAAATAATATTGAGTTGGGTGACCTCTTAGAAACTCTAAACTCAGGAATTTATATACACTAATAGTTTTTAGTGGATTTATTATAGAAATTCAAATTACAATGTCTCTCATATATTAGAAATTATAAATAAAAAGGTTGTTAGACAATCATATTTCATAAGAATTTACTAAACGGATTTATAGATATTTAATATAAAGAAGTGCCAACTTTTTGTCCTCCCTCAAAGGATGGCTTTCTCCTTATCCTCAGAATCACATCTAAAATCTAGAGTATTGATAAATTGAAAAAAAATCACAAAGCTTTATAAAAAGAAAAATAATTTTGTGCTAATGTAGTAGGAGGAAATAACCATAGTCTCATTTCTCAATTGTGTCATGGTCAATGTATTTAAGAGAATCAGATCTAAAATTGTTATGCTTAATATATTTAAGAGAACTAAATTTAAAATCATGCTATATAAATGAGTGAGAAATATACCATTTCTTGAATTTAGATTTTTTGAGAGGCCACCCAGCCCAGTATTACTCAAACGTAAGGAGACTTAACCCCCAAATATCCCAATACTCAAACCTAAGACGTTTTAACCCCCTAAGTATCCCAAACTAATTGGAAAAAAGGGTGTACTTTTGTTATTTCCCTCTATATTTGAATTATAGATTGTCTCTCAATTTGTTCTTTTTAATTACTTATAATTTACTATACTTCCTTACAAGTTCATGCTCGTAAATGGAAGTTCAGAGCCATAACTTTCCCAAGAGCTTTGCTCTTTTGACACCCTACCATTTATGTTAAACTTAATTGGAAGCAAATTAAATTTACTAAATGTCAATTTTAACATGTGGTGTAATTCTCTATCATGTAATTCTCAACATATGATGTAATTCTCTGTCATGTAATTCTCAATATATAATGTAATTCTATTATCTTTGATTACTTTCAACTACCTAGTCTCTAGAGGATGGTACAATGAGAATTGTTATTTATTCTATTTGATGCTAAATTTAATAAATCTTTATAATACATCCTAACATATTAAAATGTCAAAGCCACAAAAGTGTGCAATATTACTGCCCAATAGTTAAAAGATAAATTACCCCATATAGAAAAAGAAATAGAATCACTTTGCAAAAACAGAAAAAATGTGTGTGTTAAGAGGGCTAAAATCACATTGCATTTAGTGTTAGGGCATTGTAAGAAAATTCAAGACTTGGGCTCTTTGGTTTTAAATATAAGAGAATGGTAAGCAAAATTCTCAACTTCACTAAGGGCATTCCTAGTTATAATAAATTTTCTTATTATTTAGTAATAATTTTTCAGGCTACTATCAATTTTACCAAGAGGTTCTGATCTCTTTTGTGGTTAAAAGACTTGAATCAATTCATTATGAAACTTTTGCATAAACTATGCAATTCATTCCTTTATTTTCCTTCACCTTGCTGTAAATAATGTTCATATTGAGCATGTTCAGTAACCATGACAATTCAAATGATCACCTTTATTTTATAGCACATGCTGTCAAACACATTGTATGCATCCCTGCATTTTCCATAAATTTTCCACTTAAAGAGAAAAATCCAACCCATAACCGACTACAACTTATAAATGTGATTATCAGTTCAAAGAACTTCAAGAGAAAAACAAGCATCTAAAGCCATGAGAAGGTGATCTTTTTTTATCTTAAGCCTGCATTTTGCTCTATCAGAAATGTATATTGCAACTTTCCATGCCAAGTATATGTGCTAAATGACAATCGTCCAAGGCTCAAAACTGCACTAAAACATAATTGCACTTCAAGTCTATTGCTCAACTAATAAGAACCCTTCCAGACACAAGTATGCATAGAGGTGGATTGCTTGCTTACCACACTCATGCGACACATAGACAGTGATCATCGTGTTTCATCCCGCTCAATCAAATGCATCTAAACTCAACTACTAGAAAGAATTCAAGCACAGATTTACTTGCCCTTGGAGAGAATCTCCCAGCACAGTGCAAACACCCATGGCCTTCAGAAGAGTGATCTCATCCCTCCATGCCTCCAAGGGTGCGAACTCTTACTCCAAGTACGTTTCTCAGTGGTCGAGGCTTTTGAGAGGTAAAATCGAACCCTATCCTCCTTTTGCCCTTTCTTTTGTCGATCTTCCAGCTCGTAAGTCCTCAAATCCCGAAACGATGATGAAAGAATCGCTTGGAACAGGTCCGGAAGTTTCGAATCAAAGAAATGGCAAGGGCGATGGAACAACGAGCGCTGGGGCGTGGCCGATCCGATCGCGCAGCTCGCCGCCAAGCCCGCTTGCAACTACAAGTAGTGTCTATCTGGAGCTGGAGGAGAGCTTGGCGAAGCACTTGGCTGGAGATCTCAGCGAAGAAACAGGCATCAACTTCGCGGACAGTCGTGTTTTCAGTCTCAGCCCTGCTCCAAGTCGGGTGCTCGCGTCCTCCTCAGGCTCTCTTTTGCTGGCACACACAGCGAGCTTGATCTCGGCATCACTTGGACAGCCCCGGTGGATTGGTCTCCGGCTCGGGCTCAGTTCTACACAAGCTGGTACTTGGCTGGCAGCGGGAATGCAAGGGGATCCATCGTGATTTCGTTTCGGGCAAATGATGGTTCTTCCCGGGACTGTTACTCTCCAGGCATCGAGGCAGCCGAGGATGATACCGAGGTATGTTCGTTTGAATGGCCACACGCTACAGGTTTCGTTGGATTGCCGAAACGTGGAGTTTTGGGACTGATGAGATTCACACCAGCAGAAGATCGCAAAGCTCCTGCGGCTGTGGAGATTGCTCAGCGAGTTTCTATTGCAACCCAGGCCATAACTCTTGACGATCCATTACCACGATGATCGATTCACAACCCAAGAGGGGGCTTTGCCAAGGACGAAACGCCGAGCAGCACGAATGCGGGGGATAATCTTGTCTGGTGGGCGATCTAACAAAAACGCCATGGATTTCGCAAAGACCCCTGTCATATGGTTCAAGTACATGGTATGATTTTTTTAATACGGGAACCCGGTTGCCGAGATGATGGCTATCAGGTAAGTGTAGAGGTAAACCGTTGTAGAAGACCCGGGTTCGATGCCGAAGGGTCCACTCAACAAGGACTTTTATGCAATAAATTTGCTAAATAAGGAGCCATTATTCTGGTTCGCCGGCTCACAAAAACAGCTTAGACCAGTCATTTAGGACATCGGTCTCCCAAAACAAACGTTTCGGGTTCGATTCTCTTCCCGATATTTGTAAATACCAAATACTGAATCATCGTCGATCATCAATGCGGATGCTCTGGCATCGCGACGCTGGAGCACCTCAGCCTTGCGCAGATTGACGTGGGCAAGCTGGAGACTGCGGCGGCTGTGATAATCCATTTCCTGGCCTATCGGCGCAGCGGCGGCTCCAGCCCTGGCAGCTGATTCTCTTGTCTCGTCTGATTCCATTGACAAGACATGATCGATCGCAGGCGCTCCTCCTCCTCCTCGCAGTGTAGCTTTCTCGACGCTGACCTTGTGTTTGGCGCCCTGGCGGCGGGATACGTTTTCAGGGACCAAGGTTGCGGTATGAACTTCCAGAGAAGTAGACTTTGTAAGCTTTCGGTATGATCTTTCCAGGTTCAGGGCTGTGCTTGGAGCATCGACGCCACACATTCACCATCCATTCCTGTCACGAACAGGCAATTCCATCCTCAGGCAGCTCAAGTGGACGAAGTTCTCCATGTGCCTGGTGGGTTTGGGGGAATCAAACAAGCCCGCTTTTTCTCGGAGAGACTGCCCGAGCTTGATACTCCTCCCGATTTTAGCACCCAAAAATCACCCCGATTCTTGAGACGCATCAAAGATATTTACTAGCCAGACTTCCATGGTGTCTACATGAAAGGTTTATGCGAAGGAGGACGCCACCCTCACTGTCAGAGCGTGGTCGAGGCTTTTGACAAGCGCCAAAGGGGTGATTACAGTTCCCTAGGATCACCCCCGCATTGATCTGCCACAGGAGAACTAAATCTCTCGTGCCTCTTGATTATTGCTAGTGAGAGCAGCAGGAGCTTGATGGTGCAGAACTACCACTTTCTGTTCTGTCTGGAAGCGTCCCAGTTGTCACCGCACCAAATGCCACGAACTTTCAATTGCTATCTAGGGTATAAAATGAGTAACTATCACAAATATTCTTTTGCATAGCTCGAACCAAGGCACCACTGGACTACTGATCTTTCATAACATTATTAAGAAAGGAAGGCTTTAATGTGAAAAAAGCCTGATCTTGTCCATAACCAATAAGAGGTGGGATAGAGGATCAGCAAGCAATCCCAAAGTGTATGCGACATTTCTATTTCCATATTTTTTATGCTAGAACCAGTGCATCTTAGATTCTTTGACAGGGAGAGGCACTAAAATAGCATCAAACTTGTAAATAGGTACTGTGCATCACCTTGACCACATCAAAATAAAAAGAAATACTGTGTTGATCTCCAGAAATTGAAGAGTAGTATAAAAAAGGCTTTTCATAGATAACAAATTTTCTTGCATTTCTGGGACATGCATATAGTGCCATTTGTTAAACTCAATGAGAATAGAACCAACACCTTTAGCCTCATAGAATTTTGCATTGGTGACTCCACAATGGGTACTGGTGTAGGCAAGTCTACCAATTGAACAAAATTTACTTAATTTCTTGACATTCAAAATTATTGAATATATTGTCATATTGAAGGGTGAGCCAATAAATATATACTTTTAGATGGTGTAAGCCTTAATCAAGTATATGTTATTAGTTCTAATATTTGTGAATTTGAGATTTTACGGCTTAACTCTTTCTAGATTATACCATTTAAGGAGGTTTATTTATCCTATGCAAAGATTCCTCCTATTTGGCAGGTAGTTTGACTTTGTTGTTTACAACAATGTCATTGCAATTGTCTTCTAAGACAAATGACTTTGTTGTAGTTGTTAAACTAGAAACTCTATATATTTACTCATTTTTTATTTTAGTTTACAATTAATTTAAAAAGTTAGAACAAGGATTAACTATTATATTCATTTCAAAAGGAACTTATATATATATTTGAATTTTATAATTTATTTTTGCTTTAGATAATTGTAAACATAACAATTATATCATAAATTTATTTATTTTATATAATAAATTTAAAGTTTATAAAATTTTATTTAGGTACTCCAATGAAGTTTTAATGGTGTGGCATTTAGAAAAAGCAGTAAGAATATATCAATTTTTACTCTTTAGTGAAATTTCATAAACACTGAAAACATATATTGTGTTATAACATTACAAAGATAGGTAATAACTCCTTATTCTACTGTTGAAAAACCACTCAAATATGCTTACAATATCATAAATGTTATCACAACAATATAAACATTTAATAATATAAGTATTCAAGATTATTTTTTAATTTTTTATATTATGCATATCTTCAATTGAGAAAGATTTTATTAAAAAAATTTATATATATATATTCAATATTAGATATATAAATATAATTCTTGTATATATAGTTATTAAGTTAAAATTTAATATTAAATATTTTTTGTGAGGGCCAAGTGTACAGCTATGATGCTGTATAATAATATTAGTGTAGTGGGATTTTGGTAGTTGTTAGATTGATTTCAATCTAGACCACTCGCTCTTGTATATAAACTAAGGTTTATGGATTAATTGATATGTACATTTTCTGTATTCTTTTTCATATTCCATGCACTCACATTGGTGGAGGTGATATGCACTTTTGATTATCCCTAAGGATTGTTTGGATTTGGGATTTTGGTTTACATATAGGTTTTTCCATTTGTTTTTTCCCTTTAGGATTTTGGTTTATATTTAGATTTTGCATTGTCTAGATCTCCATTTCCTTCTAGCTTTTGTCATTCCTCTTTTTTCGCTCTTTCCTTTTCGTTCATCTTCATGGCAAATCAGCAATCTCCTCCTTTGACTTTAGAGTAATAGTTGGTACAATTGCTTGATGCTATGTGCTTACAATTGAACAACCAAACTCAGTTGATAGCAACATTCATGGCACGTGGTATAACTTCTCTTGCTCTTGGTGCCAATCCTTGCATTCAGCTGGAGTTTTTTCGTGGGAATCCTGGGGATGATGTGTACTATTGGTTCAATCACTTCACAGTGATTGCCACATATCATTCTTGGGATGATATTCGACATTTGCATGAGTTTCCCACATGTCTCCAAGGGACGGCGTTGCAGTGGTACATGTAAGCAACCAAAGGGAACAACTCGAGAAACGATCTATGGGGTTCAAATATAGAGGGAAAGGGTCTATGTATAAGAGTGCACCCCCTTTTCCAATCAGTCAAGGGTTTTGGGATAGTTGGAGTTAAGCGTCTTTAGGTTTGAATAGTACTAGGCTGGGTGACCTCCCGGGAAGTCCAAACTCAGGAGTTTACATTTGGTATCAGAGGGGTCTCGGGTCCGACTTTGTTGGTTAGCTAGAGGAATCACACCACATGTTGATTGACATCTGGCTGGTCCAGTTTGCTCCTGTTGGGCTCGACTTGAGGGGTAGGGTGTCAAGAGAGCGGGGCTCTCGGGAGAGCTGTGGCTCTCAGCTTCCATTCACGAGGGTGTGAACTTGCAGGGAAGCATGGTGGATTGTAAGCAACCAAAGGGAACGACTCGAGAAACGATCCATGGGGTTCAAATATAGAGGGAAAGGGCCCATGCACCCCCTTTTCCAATCGGTCAAGGGTTTTGGGATAGTTGGAGTTAAGCGTCCTTAGGTTTGAATAGTACTAGGCTGGGTGACCTCCCAGGAAGTCCAAACTCAAGAGTTTACATTTGGTATCAGAGGGGTCTCGGGTCCGACTTTGTTGGTTAGCTAGAGGAATCACACCACATGTTGATTGACATCTGGCTGGTCCAGTTTGCTCCTGTTGGGCTCGACCTGAGGGGTAGGGTGTCAAGAGAGTTGGGCTCTCGGGAGAGCTGCGGCTCTCAGCTTCCGTTCACGAGGGTGTGAATTTGCAGGGAAGCATGGTGGATTGTAAGCAACCAAAGGGAACGACTCGAGAAACGATCCATGGGGTTCAAATATAGAGGGAAAGGGCCCATGCACCCCCTTTTCCAATCGGTCAAGGGTTTTGGGATAGTTGGAGTTAAGTGTCCTTAGGTTTGAATAGTACTAAGGCTGGGTGACCTCCCGGGAAGTCCAAACTCAAGAGCTTACAGTACAATGGTTTGAGTGCAGCCACTTGTGGGGATTGGAGTGTTCTCCCGGACGTCTTCAAACACGCATTTGGACATGCCGACGATTGTGATGAGGCCTTCCAACAATTATATCATCTTCACCAAGGGCCATCTGAGTCGGTGATGCAATTTGGCTTTCGTTTCCGAAGTCTTTTGCTTTGTGCGAAGCCAAATATGTTAGAGCGGATTAAGCTAGGAATGTTGTGGCCAGCACTTCATCAAGATCTTGTCAGACTTATGCATGCACTTGCTCCAGCAACTCTTGACGATGTTTTTCGCTTGGCACAACATTATGAGACGTCGTCTCGTCCACTTCTCGCTGCCCATCCTTCTGCTCCTCTTCCTGTAGGTGATGGTTCTGTTCCAATGGAGGTTGGTGCTGCTACTGCTTGAGTCTAAGGACAAGGGCAAGGACATGGTCGTGGCCATGACATTTGCTGTTGGGCATGTGATGAAGTTGAGCATACCTATTGGCATTGTTGGCATTTTTCGGATTGGCAACCTCCATTTCTTGGGTGGAGACCTTGGCATCAACAACATCTTGTTGGTGTTGTTGTAGTGGGAGGTCTAGACACTGCAATACATTTGGGAAACGAAAAGTTGCTATTTACACTTGCGTCGTGCAGCATAACCAGTTTTCATTCTTTATGGCAACGGCCGTACACATGCATGTGCACGGGATGAGGCGGACCTGGTTGTGTGTGTGGGTGATTTCGAGCTTGAGTTGCAATCCTTGCGGGTGGTGCTGAGTCAAGCTTTTGACCTCATCCTTGGTATGAATTGGTTGCAGCGCAATCATGCCAAATGTGACTTTGAGGCTTCTCCCCCTTGTTTCATACTTCATTATGTTTCATCCATTCCTCTCACTTTTGTACCTCTTCGTCCCTCTATTTCTACTTCTGCTTCCATTACTTTTGTTCCCCTATTATTTCCTCCTATGTTTCCGTCTTGTTCTCTTCCCTTTTCCAGTCCCTTCAACAATCTTTGTGTTGTAGAGGTTGGCCGGCTTATGAAGGAGTATTCTAATCTCTTTGACTTTGACATATCGTCTGGGGCCAAGATTGCCACACGTCATCCGATTCCAAATGGGGATGCTCATTTAATCAAGGTTCCTGTTCGTTGTCGGTCACCCAAAGAGATCAAGATTTTATGCGCAAATGTTAAAGAAATGTTAGAGAAGGGTGTTATTCGGAAGTCGCAATGTCCTTGGGTATGTGAACCTTATCTTGTGATGAAGCCTGATGGGAGTATTTGTTTATGCATCAACTATCATCCGTTAAACGAAGTGACGATCCCAGATGTGTACCCTCTTCTTTACACTACTGATCTCTTGGATTGTTTAAGGCGAAGTCATTGGTTCACCAAGCTAGATCTTGCTTTTGGGTATTGGCAAGTACCAATGGCCGAAGAAGATATTCCTTAGACTGCTTTTTGTATACCATTTGGATTGTATGAGTTCTTGGTGATGCCATTTGGTTTGAACAATGCTCCAACAACTTTCCAACGGATGATGGACGAGGTCCATTGCGATATGCTAGAGGTGACTGCTGACTTCATTGATGATGTCTTGAT